CTTTGAATCGTATACTGTGAAAAACTTATGAACCGTTCAAATGAGCTGCAAACTCGTGAAAGATTTTTAAAACGTATTTTAATTACTATTACGGGTCAAAGGGATCAAAAACATAAATGTATTTACACTTTACACAAACTTCATATCTATATTTTACTAAAAAATACTAATGTCTTATGGTCATAACTTTCTCCTTCTTTAAAAACTTTAAAGTTTCATAAACAACAAACAGAATTTCAAAAATCAGTTTTTTCCTTATATGGTAATAAAGTAAAGAAAGACAAAATTAAATAAATGTTCAACTTTCTAGACTAAAGCCTTAATAACCCCTCCCCTCCTCCCTAAACATAACCTCCACTACCCTTGCGAGGCTCGAGGCCGACTTTTCCGCCTATCCTCACCCCCACCGGCTCTAGGGAGGTAGGCTTTTCAGGGGGGAGAGGCCGTTTCAAGGGGGGGGGGGTGGAGTTTTTAAATCTTGGTTCTCTCAGGGGGTATTGACCTCTATACTATATTATAGAAAGGCCTCGAGAGCAAAATACGTAAAAAAAGATAAAATATAAAAATATAACTTAAGTACTTCTCTCAAACGTACTTAGAATGAAAAGAAAAAAATTAATCCTTCTCTCACAATGATAATTGGTTTACATTTGTACATTTGTAATACATATTTTTAATTTCTCGGGAAAATTAATTTAAAAAGGGTCATTATGGTTGTATAATTATATTGTATATATATCATCATATAAATTTCCGTTTTCAAGTAAAATATTTTATTAATATTTTTTGACACGAGATATGTTTTTCATTGAAATAAACACATTTTCTGTTATGTACATAATTACCTAGGGAGCGTTAATTAAAAATGCCATGCAAAAATACTCAAAATTAATTAAACTAAAATTCTGTTTAATTTTGAACTTTAAGTTATTCTAAAGATTTAATGTTTTAAACCTTTTGAGTGAGTTGTTTCCCTTAAAGTTTATTGGTCTATTCAGCGCACGTTAAGTATTTTATTTGCACAGTTTTTGCGATAGCTGGACAAAGTGTGCAAATTTTTTAACAAATATTGGCCTCATTCCAAAGCAAGGATGTCTCAAAAAGTTATTTCTCCTGATTAAGTTTTCTTCTGAATTTGGCTTGGGGAAATGAATTTGTCGTGTCCAGTTCTCATTTGAGGAAAATCCAAGTTTAACACTGAATTTGAAACCCTCATTATTGGCTCCAATCCCTGCGCCCTATTTGCAACCCACTGCTCAGTTAGCAGTGTACAATCTAGAGTTTATGATGCAAAAACACCAGTTTTTGTCCCATGTTGCTCGCCTGAAAAAAGGGGGTAAAAATTAGAAGTGTGACAGTAGTACGTGTGTCACTGACATCTATTGAAAAACTTCGGCAACTTACAATTAGGCAAAAAATGGTTCTCCATATGAATTTAAAGGGACAGACCGGCTGTTTAAGGTAGTTAAACTGAGTTTGCATTGTTTTTGACATTTTCCAGTTCCCACCTCCCCCCCCCGGACTGAATTCTGTGCAAATTGTGTTCCCGTGGCCCGGGTGGCGGTTCGGTGCATGAAAAATGACCCCTGCCGTCCTTGGTCCTGCCTAATTTATGACCCCTGCCGTCCCTTCTGCCCAAGCCCTGGAGCCGACCCATGCCGTCCCGCCCTCCGTGTCCAGGGTTCGCGAATTCTGTGGGGCGGGTAGGGTGGGAGCAAGGGTAGGGGGAGTGGGACAGAAACTTCAGAGCCGTCTGGGAGTAAGGTTGTCCAAAGGACCCGTCTGTCTAACAGACGCTGTCCCCCTTAGTGCACCCTGTCCCTCAACAAACGCTGTTTGACAGCTAAAAAATTGTGAATTGTCTCTAAGTGAGTTAATACCTGATTGTGACCGTTTATACATATATGACCGCTGGTAATAGGATGACCGACTCCCCTCCCCGGGACCAGGACTCCGACCAGGGCCCGGAGGACCTCCGGAGCGATATTAAAAAGAAAAAAGGATCAGGTAGAGAATTATATAAATATATATATCTATACCTGTAAAGTACAAATCTATGGGATTTGTGGTCATGTATAAATATCAAAACCAGAGATTTTGCAATTGAACCAAAGAATTATTACAAAATTTAGTTAATCGTGGGTGTGANGGGGGGAATCTTAAAGGTATTCAATCAAGGTATTTGACATTTAAGATCGAATATGATACATCTAACTTAAAAAAAAGTACTGTTAATATATAACATGCAGGAGAGAGAGAAAAGGATATAATAATATTCAAATTTAATGAAAATAAATTTAATTTTTAATTTCTGAATACTAATGGAAAAGCTGGTAATGGTATAAATATACTTCAGAAGGCGAAGAGAGGGGTTACTGACTCTTCAGTCTAAGTAAAGAACCTACAGCGATATAGATGTTTTATAAAGACAGATACATAGATATATTTACAGATAGATAGATATATGGATGGATAGATAGATATATGGATAGATAGATATATGGATAGATAGATAGAATTTTGCAACACTGAATCCGCGGTGTAAACTGTATACTATACTCTACAGGGAGGCCTCGGGATGCAAACTTAAACATCTCTCTCTCTTCTCCCTCAATACCTCTCCTCCCCCCTCCTTCTCTTAATTTCTCTCTCTTCTTCCCCCCCCATTCTCTTAGCTTATCTACACATATATTATATGTATTTACACATATGTATATATGTTTAATATAATATATACATTGTATAGTATATATGTATTATGTAGATATTTATACATATTAAAGTAAAAAGTACAAGAACGTTTAAGTTATTCAATCAAAATACATTTATAAAAAATATATATTTTTTGGAAATATACAATGAAATATATTCTAAAGTTTAACACTTTATTAGCACATAATTAATGTTGAACCAAATTCGACTGATTTCATATAAATATTATATTATATCATATATAGGGGAGGAGGGGGGGGGGGAGTTGCAAAAATTCTTTGTTTATATTTACCGTTGAGTAACCGTCGAGTTGGCTCGTTATGTTATCAACATTTTATTGCTTTAGAACGATTTCTTTTTGCAACGAAAGATGACTCCGAAACATTTATAAAATAGATGGATAGATAAAATTTAACGATGTGCTTTAAAATATATACATTAATAAAACTTTATCATGGTTTCAGGTCTAATATGTAATTATGTTTTTTTGTAAACAATTTGCCATTATGTTGATTTATTATATAATTGGTTAAAAAGTAAAGATTTTGCTTGTTCATAATCAACCAAAGATTTTACAAAAATAGGACGAATTTATGCAAGATAGGGTGTATAGACTTACCTTTATTGAACTTGAATAATTTTAAACAAATCCTTAAATGATTTTAAACAAATCCTTAAATGATTTGATTTCTGAGAAAGCTATGACCGATTTAATTATTCAATACCGCACATTTTGTGGAACTTGCAGAATCAAAAAACATTTCGAAATTACACAATCTTTTTTTCAAATTATGAACAGAAATTTAGAGATATCTCACACTGTTTAATGTTCTTAACATTCTGCTTATAATTTCGAATAAAATATTAGAAATTTTTCAAAATTTTCGGTAGTTTTTTTATAACGAATAATATGTTTGTGGTTTTTAAAACATTGTATATTCGTACTTTGATACTTACTTATTCTTTTGATAGTAAGTTTCTTATTATTATTTTATCGCATATAGGATCTACTATTGGAAATTTATTAACATGGTTTACGTACGGGAACGTGGCTATACAAGGTTATCCACAAAGGATTAGACTTTGATTACGACCTCAAACCTTTTAGTTCCGACTTTCGGAGGTCATAGAAATTGTCTTATTTATGATTAATATATGATTTGTCAAAAAGGCAAAAAGTTTAAGAAAGTTAGAATAAGACTTGAAAATTTTTGTACAGTCGTCTTTTAAGTCTCATTTTTTGTGAGTAACCGTATAATAAATGTAAAATGTTAAATGTTTAAAATTCATGCAGTTGTTCATAACAATTATGGCGATAATAATAAAACATGTTCAAACCTCCTTTTAAACTTTTGCCTGATCACCCAGTGTCCGAATTTAATGAATTTAAAGGGACAGACCGGCTGTTTAAGGTAGTTAAACTGAGTTTGCATTGTTTTTGACAAATTCATTATTATTCATTTGAGATATATAAAAAGTTTCCACGATGTACAATTACTGAGTTTGAGCGCAAAGTCGACGTTCAAAATCATGAATTTGGGTGGGTACGTTTTCAGAATCGGGTTTTTTTTAAAATTATTAAATAACGACGACGAACAATAAAGTAAAAATTCTAAGAAAACTAATTAGATGTTTGGGAACATATTTCTCAAAAGAAATTTGTCAATAAATCAAAATTAGAATTAATTATTTCCTTTTTCATCATTATATTGAATTTCTTATTTTCTATGAATTTCTTCAAATTCTTCAATGTTGTCTTTTTGATAAAAATTCCAGAAAATCTTTGTGATTTAAGAGATTAAAGAAACTAATAATTGAATAAGATTACTTATTTTCGATGATAAGGGTTAATTTTAATTCTCTCAACCTGTCCCTAAACAACTAATTAGTTTATTGTAGAATTTTGTTAACATTTAACAATTTTAAAAAACAATTCGGAAAACGTATCAACCAAAAAGTACGATTTTAAAACTTGACTTAGCGCTTAAACTCAGGATTTGCAGATCTTTAAAAAGTTTTATATGTATGCATGAATCCTAAAGAATTTTTCCACAACACTGCATACTCAGTTTAACTTTCTTACATTGCCGGTCTGTCCCTTTAAAGCGCGTCTCAAATCCCCCAAGAACTGGTTTCAATTGAGCCCCGGCTTAAACCTTGAAAAATTAAATACAATTTTAAGTGGAACCAACCATATTTGAGTCGCGGCTAAAATTCTTTAAATTCGGCCTCAGGACGGAGATATTCAATTTTTTTTCTGAAAAATCATAAATCTGTATTTTGTTTAGTTGTGATGACGACCCAACCATCAAATGAGAGTGAACTGCAGCTGTACAGAGTACTGCAGAGAGCTAATCTACTTCACTACTACGATACTTTCATATCACAAGGTACATATAATGCATACATGAAGAGCCGTAAACTTAAAATAGAGTATCGGTACGAAACCGAGTTTCGAAGCACAGTTTCATAAAAAACCCTATCATTTCATAAGTGAAAATCGCAATTAAAGTGTCCCATCCTCTCCTAAAAGTAAAAAATGGTTTCGTTTTTCAAAACTCTCTTAAATTTCCGACTTGTTTGTTCAACGAAATAAAACAAGGTGTTCAAAACTCTTCATATTAACAATATATTTTCAGCAAAGGTATATTTTTTTGAACTACCCTTTCCTATGTAATTTTTAGCAACTCTTCCCTGAAGTGAATATACCTCCTTCTCTCTCCTGAAAATGATAATAACAATTTCTTATCACATAACCTGCAAAAACCTCTCTTTATTGATGACCTAAATTCTCTTAACTGGGGGAACTAAAAAGCAACAAATAATGAAAAGATAATAAACGGCTTCTCAGTTTTGAACAAGAAGAATGTTTAAATATAAAAAGGTTGAAAAGTGAAGTTTTTACACTCGTCAGCTTTTAGTGACAAGTATATATCCTTATATACATGCTCGTATAAGAACATGTTTATGTCAATAACTGGAGAAAATCATGGAAGAAAAATTATTAAAAGGTTTCATATTGAATTTCAAGTTTTTCAAAGAGTTTAGATAGATAGATAGATAGATAGATATATGTTTAATTTAAATTCTCTCTCTCTATAGAGTCTAGACTTAAGATATGTTATAAAACTTTTTCTTGTTTTCTTTTAACATACAAATCCATTTGAGAGCAATTTGCGGATATTTGCAACCCACTGCTCAGTTAGCAGTGTACAATCTAGAGTTTATGATGCAAAAACACCAGTTTTTGTCCCATGTTGCTCGCCTGAAAAAAGGGTGTAAAAATTAGAAGTGTGACAGTAGTACGTGTGTCACTGACATCTATTGAAAAACTTCGGCAACTTACAATTAGGCAAAAAATGGTTCTCCATGGNGTTGCTTAATAGTTCACAACTAAAAGATTAAAAAGTCTATCATACAGAGTTTTAGAATCGGGCGAAGTTTGTTTTTAAACTTTTTTGTCAAATGATTTGTAATAAACATGATGACCCTCCCCCCCTCTATATTTTCATCCCGTCAATTATCCTCATTAGTAAAAACATAATTGCCTCCCAACTAATTGATTTTATTGTCCTTGGCTCTGCTTTTTGTCTAGATATTAATCAATCAATCAATCAATAAATGCATTTTTTACTTTATTACATAGTTTTATTTATTTATGCTAATTGCTTTTTTGTTGTTGCAATTTTAAGAGCTTAGCCGTGCTTTAATGGGGGGGGGGTGTTACATACTGTACATAAGATTTAATGGGGGGTGTTACATACTGTACATAAGCTTTAATGGGGGGGGGGGTGTTACATACTGTACATAAGCCTCTTTTTTATAGTATTAAAAGGTTGTTATGAATAATTTTTTTAAACAAGTCAGTCAACTTAGTTTATTTATTTTCAAAATGCATTGTTTTGTCATCCAGTACCCCTTGTCACCCCTTGTAATCCTCTGTTACCCCTTGTTACCCCTTTTACCCCTTGTTACCCCTAAAGGATTTGCATTTGTTCCTATATTGTATGATATATCCTCTATATGTATATATGATATACCATACAGTATATAGAACCCCCCTGTATTATACATTTGATCTTGTTCTTATACCCTGGGTCCCGGGCTAGATAAAAACCATAGATTCACTTTTTCTCCCACCCTGTAGTATTCCAGCTAGACACTTTTTCCACCCTGTTTTTTCCCACTGTAAAACATGACACTGATTCTCGCAAAAATGATATCGTGGTGGTCGGTAATTAAGTGTTTTATGTGAGTTGTACATACGTTGTTTATGTGATACCAACTAGGAAAGGGGGGATTGAGGGGGCTTTA